TGGGATAAATGCTAAAGAATATAACTGCTAGGCCTTATGATAGCTGCCAGTTTAGTTCAGTAAGAAACTGTCAAAAATGTTTTCCAGAGCTAAAGCCTTGAGTTTTATTTAACTTTTTTTTTGAGACAGAGTCTCACTCTGTTGCCCACGCTAGAGTGCCAGGGCATCAACTTAGCTCACAGCAACCTCAAACTCCTGGGCTCAAGCAATCTTTCTGCCTCAGCCTCCCGAGTAACTGGGACTACAGGCATGCGCCACCATGCCCGGCTCATTTTTTGTATATGTTTTTAGTTGGCCAATTAATTTGTTTCTACTTTTAGCAGAGACAGGGTCTCACTTTTACTCAGGCTGGTTTTGAACTCCTGACCTTGAGCGATTCTCTCGCCTTGGCCTCCCAGAGTGCTAGGATTACAGGCGTGAACCACCAAGTCCACCTAAGCCTTGGGTTTTAAAAAACAAACTCAAGGCCGGGTGCGGTGGCTCATTCCTATAATCCTAGCACTCTGGGAGGCCCGAGGCAGGTGGATCGCTCAAGGTCAGGAGTTTGAAACCAGCCTGAGTGAGACCCCGTCTCTACCAAAAATAGAAAGAAATTAATTGACCAACTAAAAATATATATAGAAAAAAAAATTAGCCGGGCATGGTGGCGCATGCCTGTAGTCCCAGCTACTCGTGAGGCTGAGGCAGGAGGATCGCTTGAGCCCAGGAGTTTGAGGTTGCTGTGAGCTAGGCTGACACCACGGCACTCACTCTAGCCTGGGCAAAGAAGTGAGACTCTGTCTCAAAAAAATTAAAAATTAAGTAAAAAACAAACTCCATCAACTTCAGAAGTGATTCAATTCCCCCCTTCTCCTCTTCTATCAGTTTGCACAGACTGCAAAGCAGTGGTCGCCAGCAAGCAGCCCACAGACCTCCATGCTTGCTGGCCAGCCATTTACTCCTTCCTGTAAGGATTCTGCACAGGTCACCCACAGGACAAATATTTATTAAGCTATGAGCCAAGGGGCTGGGCTACTTATTTCCATATTGGTGATACTTGAGGTTTTTTTCCCCTTAATTTTGAACACACAGCAATTATTAACCTGCAAAAAATCTACATGTACCATTGAGAAGCAAACCTAACCTGCAACATTTCATTCTTTAAAAACACTCTCAATCATCATAAGAGAAAGTACTTTAAAGGCGAGATTGATTCGTCTCCAAGTAAGACTTGGAAGTGGCTTGGAAGATTGATTCATCTCCAAATAAGACCCTTACCCAGGCTGGGTGCGGTGGCTCATGCCTATAATCCTAACACTTTGGGAGGCTGAGGCAGGAGTATTGCTCAAGGTCAGGAGTTTCAAACCAGCCTGATCAAGAGGGAGACCCCATCTCTACTAAATATAGAAAGAAATTAATTGGCCAACTAAAAATATATAGAAAAAAATTAGCCAGGCATGGTGGTGCATTCCTGTAGTCCCAGCTACTCAGGAGAGTGAGCAGGAGGATCGCCTGAGCCCAGGAGTCTGAGGTTGCTGTGAGTTAAGCTGATGCCATGGCACTCTAGCACGGGCAACAGAGTGAGACTCTGTCTCAAAAGAAAAAAAAACAAACCTTACCCTTGAGAGCTTGAACCCGAATCCTAATGAATGAAAATATGGACAGTGGTTTGGCATGTTGAAGAAAATCTATCATGAACTTCAAAGTGCCAGTATAATCACTTCTCACTAATCACCTAAGATTATAAAAATAATTTGGAACAAATTATTTAGTATTTAATAATTTGGAGCAAACACTTTAGTAAAAGGACACACATTCAATTTTGTCACTAAATGTTCCTTGGTGATTATATATGGTCCACAAAAAATGGTCCTTAGATAATTAACACATTTTCCTTTTAAAACTAGTAGCTACACTTTTAATTAAATTTCAACTGGACATGGCTTTCACAAGACATCTTAAAATAGCAGATGTTAAGCATTGGAATTTCCAATTGCTATTTATAATGGGATCACCTGTGAAGTGCTGTCTGGGAAAAAAAATCTCATAGGTATTTAACAGATCATAAATATCATTAAAATTTTTTTTTAATCAGGCTAGGGGAGTTGGCTCACTTGGATAAACCTAGCACTCTGAGAGGCCAAAGCAGGAGGATAGCTTGAGGCCACAGAGTTTGAGACCAGACTGACCAAAAGTGAAACCCCATCTCTACAAAAAAAATAGAAAAATGAGCCAGGTGTGGTGGCATGTACCTGTAGTTTCCAACTACTTGGGAGGCTGAAGCAGGAGGATCACTTGGGCCCAGGAGTTGAAGGCTGCAGTGAGTTATGATGATGCCACTACACTCTACACAGGGAAACAGAGCAAGACTCTGTCTCAAAAACTATAAATAAATAAATCACTAAACTGATGAGGCTTCCTAACACCCACCTGGCTATCCTGCTTTCACTGTCTTTTCAGCACCAACTTGCCCTATATAATAATGCAGGGAGGTCACCTACATGTTTCAGATAAAACTGCCAAATGCTGCAGCAGTAAACTGAATTCCACCTTCAATCCTTCATGGCCCCAACCCTCTTCACAAATTCACTGTGTGTAGACTCCAGTCAAACCACTAGCTACTGCTAACTCCAAACCCTTCCAATGGAAAAAAAATCAAATCTTCCTCTCCTAGGACTGTTAAGGGAAAAAGAAAAAAAAATCCAATAAACAGAACCCAGAAAATCCCATTTCCTGCAAAGGTTATTAAATAGGTCACAATTTCTTGGGCCAGAGATGCTAACACTAAATGTTAACATTTACACATCTTTCAAAATGGCACAATGTCAATTAACTTGCTGACAAAATGTAGCAGGATGGCAAATCCAAGATATATAAATGAGGAAAGCTGTCACTCCTCTGGGGCCATGAAAGGTGATCATAAGAAACTGCGAAGGAGCATGAAAGAGGTGGGGAAAGAAGCCTCTCCAACCCGAAGAAAATTTCTAAAGCCCTTTTCAAAAGTAAGAACACTTCTAATCCCACATCTTGCTAAAGCCTAAAGACATATAAGATGTTCTGTCTACTGTTTTACCCAAAGAGGCTGTCTCATAGAAGGCTTTTTCCCCATCAATGGCTCCACCTGTCCCAACCTGCAGGCCTTAACCAGGGAGCACCGTATTTTTGTGATCAAAATGAGCAGCTGCTGTCAATGTGGTATTTGACAGTAAGAGCTTGAGAAAAATAACAGCTTTAGATTTCTCACTCAGGAATATGAGCCTCTAAAACTATTAAGAATACTAAAAGAAACTAAAAGAAATTTTGCCTGCAGGCACCAGACAAGTCTCCATCAGGAAAAACAAAGAAAAACTGCAAACAATTAGGCACCTCTCAGTTACAGAAAGAGGCTGTCCAAGCTCCAGGAAGATTGGGAGACTGATAAATCAGTGCCCAGTGCTGGCAGGACCAAGTCTGGCAATCATGGCCAGCCATCAACCTGAACTAAAGAATACTCCAGGCAGCAGTAGGGCCTGTACAGATTCCATTCACAATCCTAGGACCAAGAGCTACCCACACAGGCAAGAGACAGAGACCCACCACTACTGGACAGGAACAGTAGCACCTCCCAGTGTCCTGGGCCTTTCTCCCTCCTTTCCAGCTGTGAATGAGGCCCCGGTTCCCACACTTCATTCACCGTCTGAGCGGCTGCAGTAGCTACATCCCACGAGACCACACACAAAGCATCGCACACAAAGCATAGTGGCAGCACTGTGAGCAATCCTTGGAGATTCCCAAACACAAATACCTGAGGAAAACAGAGCTTAAAGTTCCAAATTTGAATCCTAACTTGGGAAGGCACTTCATGTTCTCTCCCATGGACCCCAAATTTTTTAAACAGTAACATTTTCAAAGCAGATTCAGAATGACTGAAATATCTAAGTCCAGAAAAGGAAGATTTAACACTAAAATCGATGCTTCTTCGCTGATCCATCATGTAGCAACTTAAAATTTTGTAAATATTGAGTAGAGATCGCTTACTCTCCCCCAGTTTGGACACTGAGCTGAAGGACAGCATGCAGAGCACCGTAAACCCCAAATAATGCATCCAGGCATAGGACTCACTGGGGCAGAACCCCGTAAGTAGCCACAAGAACCTCACTCAACTACTTGAGAACACAGGTAGAAAGACATTTTAAGCACCCACGTTTGCGTAGCAATCCTGGCAGATTACAGTGCACCCAAACATCGCACCGTTTTAGATCGCCGTTTGGAGGGAAGATACAAATCTTAAGTAATCTGGAAAACACTCAACGTCAATGAAAACACCTGAACTAAAGAAAAGGAAACCTTAAACCCTCCCAAGTTTGAATCCTGATCTAAGGGAGGCCTGGCTGACCAGACATTTGGGAACCTGGAGAACCCACAAAGGCTTCCTCTGCAATCCGCGTAGGCAAAGGGTTTACAAGGAGGGGGTCCACCTCTCCGCGCCCTGTGAGGACAAAGGAGGCGACATTTCCCGCCTCGGGAACAGGGGACCGTCCTGGAACCCGGGGCAGGACTGGGACAAAGAGGATGAGAGGGCGAGGAGGAGATAAGCCCTCGCCAGGATGCTCGGGGCCCGAGGGGGTGTGTGCTCCAAGCACGTGCGCGCGTAGCCCAGGCGCCGCCACAGACAAAGCCCGGCCCGGGGTAGGCGGCGGTCGGGGACCCGGTGCGCGCGCACCCCCCGCGCGTGGCGCCGCCGCGGGCCGAGGGGCCGCGAAGGGGGAGCGGATGCGCGCGCACCGGGCCCTCGCCGCCGCCGCCGCCGCCGCCATTTTGTTTCCTCGGCACAATGGGGGAGAGTAACGGCCGAGGGCGGGAGCCAGGCCGGCGAGAGAGGAATGAAGCAGGCGCAGGGGCTGCAGGACCCGGCGACGGCAGAGGGTGCGGGGCGCCTTCAGCCTCGTCACCGCGACCCCTCAGCGGGGACCAAGCCGAGAAGGAGAGCGGGGGGGAGGGGCAGAGGCGGGAGCGGGCCCGGCCGCCACATTGACGCTTACCTTGTCGGCGTCCCCTTTCCCGACCGCAGCCGCCGCCGCCCTCCTGCCACAGCCCGCCGGGGTGTCTCCCCCCAAAAGCCACGCGGTGCGCGTCGGGCTGCTGAGTCCAACTGCAATGGCGAGAAGAGGAGGAGGAGGAGCCGGGACCGGGGGCGAGCGAGCGGGCGGGCGCGCGCCGGGGAGGTGCGGGGGCACGTGACCTGCCGGAGCCCCGCCCCCTCGCCGCCGCGTTGCGGCTCGACGCAGGCCCAGCCCGAATGGGAGGGCGGGGTGAAAAGATATTAGGGGGCGGGTCTTAGTCACGTGAACAGGAGCGTGGGGTTGCGTGGGCTGGTCACATGGCGCCGATCTCTTTTCCTCCCCTTTCGAGAGCTTAGCTCCGTCATGTGACAGTGGCGAATTCCGAGGCCTCCTGTTCCACATGACAAGGGCTTTTGCTCCTTGGCAACATAAGTAGTTCTGCATCACGTGATAAAGTTGCTGCGCTGGTTTGGCAATGGCGGTTTTTGAGCTGCCCTTACCACGTGACGCGGGGCAAAGGTGAGGGGCGGGGCCTCTGTGAGGCTGCGCGAGTGCACGCATGCGCGGCAGCCATCTTACGACCGTCGCTCTGAGTACTTGGGCGGAAGTGCTCTGAGAGTCCGGCGTGTGAGTGTTTCTTAGGGACCGAAGCGCGTTCTGGGACTTTCGGCCTCCAGCGGAGGTCAGCGCAGTGCTCGCATCTCCCGCGGGAGGTGAAGAAGGCTAGAGGTGTGTGCGAGTCCCAGCTCCTTGTTGCTGCCCCGTGAGCCCGCTCCAGTGAGCGTCGCGCTTGTTTGGTCCTGCAGACCTTACTTAGTGTAGCGGCGACCTGGTCGGGATCCACCAACCAACTCTCCCCTTTAACAGATGGATAAACTGAGAGCCAGGCAAGGAAGAGATCTCATCCAGAGGACTCACGGGAGAGCCGGGACTGCGACTCATGGCGCTCGGCCACAAACAGCTCCGGGGGTCCTAAGTAAAGGCACCAGTGACCGAGTTCCTTCTCCTTAGGAGCGTAGTATCGTTGAATCCTCTCAGGCACCTTGAGGGGTCCCCGTTGTACAGTCTGTGCTAAGCCCCGCTCTCTTCCAGGGTCACGTTGGCGCTCAACGGGCATAGTTCTGCAGCTTGACAGTTGCCCGCGTTGCAGGGATTTGGAGCAAGAAGCAAGGAGTTCTTAAAAATGGGGGAAAGTTCAAGACTTACAGCTTAATAACGGTTCTTCCTTGCAAAAATGTAGGGACAGTGCAACACAGAAAAGGATACAAGGATCCAGTGCCTACCTGGGTTTGAGTCCTGTGTGATCAATGACAATGCACCTCCCTGAGCCTCCGTTTCCCTATCTACGTAATAGTGATGATTTATTCTTTTTATAAAGCACTTCGCACAATTATTTTTGCATAACAAATACGCCCAAACTGATAGCTTTTATAAAGAAGGTAAGCTGTAAAATACGATTACAGAAATAGGTGCGTGCTGCACCCATTGCTCTTCTATTTTATTTACATTTTATTTAGGATTTTTAATAGGTAATATTTTCACGTGTTGTAAAGTGTCATATGTGCAAAACAATATGAGAGAATGAAATTGATCTCCTTCCTTCAGACACCCAGTTCCCCTCCCTCTTGGCAGGCAGGGTAAAGTTTTTTTGTGTTATCAGGACGCATAACCGTATTTTTATTGCTGTTTTTCACAAAAATAGGTGTTTTATTCTATATCAGGCTTCGATGGGTTTTTTTGTTTGTTTTATTTTTCACTTTCTTTGCCGCAGAGAACCGTCTCACAAATAGAGCTTGAGATTGAAGAAAAGTGTGGTAAAATGAATGGGCACGTATAGAGACAAAACTGATTTAAGTTTAGACTGTTCAGAGTCGTTGTGATGGTAGTGGTGGGTGATAGAGCCTAAACTGGCTTTTAAACATATTAACTTTATTGGAAGCCTTAGCTCAGAGACCAACAGTGTCTATTTGACACCAGAGGGAACAGGCTCAGTGGCTGGGTGAGTTGCCTAAGCTAACAGCGCTACCAAGTGGCAAAACAAGGATAATTTCTAGTTTTCCATCTCCAAGTCCAAGAGGCCCTTCTCAGGAAGGCCCAAGGTTGTGGCATTTCCAGTAAAGGGCAGGTAGGAGCATGATGAGGAGCCTTGGAGTTGAATCAACCCAAAATCTCCATGGAGGAGCCCAGGACTGAGAGCGTTGCCTGAGTGCCCAGCATGGAGTAAGAGCTTGAAAAGCAGTCGTGGTTATGATTATTGCCTATTAGACCACTGCCCCATCCAATCAGAACTCCCTTCAATGTGCAGTCTTGTCTGGGCCCACCCCTAACCCTACCCACCAGGAGCTGCTGGGTGTGAGGTTGTTAGCCCTTCATGCTCTGTGTCTCTGCTGTTTCTCTGGTCACCAAAAAAAGATGGAAGACCCCAGATATGATCTGCCCTCTCTTGTCCCTGTGCTGCTACCCTGACCCAACTTCCCACCACTGTCCTTGCCTTTCCACTACTCTGGTCACCGATCCCCTATGTGCCACCATTGTCTCACCTCTTTGCCTCAGCGGCACCCCCTGTCATCCGTGATCTCAAAGAACTAGCCTCAAGCGATCCTTCTGCCTTGGCCTCCCAAAGCGCTAGGATTACAGGTGTGAGCCACCTCACCTGGCCTCCACAATTCTTTAAGTTAAAAAGAAAAAAAAAAAGGAAAAAAAAAAAAAAAGATGTCCAGGTGTGGTGGTGTGTGCCTGTAGTCCAAGCTACTCAGGAGGCTGAGGTGGGAGGATCACTTGAGCCCAGGGGTTCGAGGCTGCAGTGAGCTATGACTGTGCCATTGCACTCTTGGCCAGGTGACAGAATGAGAACGTGTCTCAAATATAAAAATCAAAAATATGAAATGAAAGCTAAGTCAAACTGTGGCAACATCATTTGAGCCCCAGGATGCGGGAAAACATTCACAGAGCCATACACAGTGATGCCATCATTTGGGCCACATGGGGGACCATGACCACCCTGATTGAATTCCCCTTTTCCTTATGAGGCCGTCCCTGGGGCCCTCTAGTTCCTGCTGCTCTCCCTCTCACGGCACCTATTTGTGGCTTTCGCCTGGTGGGCCTCTGCTCCCCCTCTGTTCTAAGAGAGCTGCCTTTGGGGAACCGCCCCTGTCCCACTCTGCTCCTGCCTCCCAGATGAGGCCATCTCACCGGCAGCCTCTGCGGGTCAGGCGAGTCGGAACCCCACGTCTCCCCCAGCCCAATGACTAGTTCAGAGATGGCATCTCACCAAGACAGGCCAGGGGAGAAGCAGCCCTGGGACTTACCTCTGATCATCTGAGAAAACATCATGTCTCTGCTGGGCAGCTGGGTGGGCAGGCTGTCCACCCAGGATTTACAACTTGCGTGTCCTTTCACCCAACACCATTCATTCATTCACTCATTCAAGGACCCTCTCACTGGAAGGGCTTTGCACTGGCTGTTCCCTCTTCCTGAAACACTGTTCCCTCACTTCTCTCAAATCTCTGCTCAAGTATCAACTCCTCAGCCCATGTCTTAAAGTACACTACCAGTTACCCTGCTTTGTTTTTCTTGAAAGTGTTTATGGCCACCTATGATATATTTATTTTTATTTTTGTTTTTTGAGAAAGAGTCTCACTCTGTTGCACGGGCTAGAGTGCCGTGGCATCAGCCTAGCTCACAGCAACCTCAAACTCCTGGGCTGAAGCGAGCCTCCTGCCTCAGCCTCCTAAGTAGCTGGGATTACAGGTGTGCGCCACCACACTCAGCTAATTTATTTTATTTTTTATAGAGATGGGGTCTTGCTATGTTGCCCAGGCTGGTCCTGAACTCCTGGCCTCAAGTAATCCTCCCACCTCAGCCCTTCCAAAGTGCTGGGATTATAGTCATGAGGCACTGAGCCTGGTCCTATTATATGTTTAGTTGTTTTTTTGTCTTCCTGGCTAGAGGGTCAACTCTGGGACCAGGGAACACAGTTCTTGTTCATGCCCGTGTATTCATTATATAAACAGTGCTTCGTTTTAGAGTGATCATCTACCACCCACTGTGCCTGAATCAGTACAATGTCACAGATAGCTGACCCAAAGAGAATTCCCCCTTTCCTTTAAGTCATCTTTATTTTTTTTTTTTGAGACAGAGTCTCGCTTGTTGCCCAGGCTAAGGTGAGCGCCATGGCTCAGCCTAGCTCACAAGCAACCTCAAATCCTGGGCTCAAGCAATCTCCTGGCTCAGCCTCCTGAGTAGCTGGGACTACAGGCATGCGCCACCATGCCCCGCTAATTTATATTATATATAATAGTCTAATAATAATTATAATATTATTAGTATTGTGGCCAATTAATTTCTTTCTATTTTTTTTATGGTAGACATGGGGTCTCGCTCAAGCTAGTTTTGAACTCTTAACTTTGAGCAATCCGCCCACGTTGGCCTCCCAGAGTGCTAGGTTTACAGGCGTGAGCCAAAATCATCATTTAAAAAAAAAAAAAAAAAATGCAAGTGGAGTGCAGTTGTTCCTGTAATCCCAGAACATTGGGAGGCCGAGGTGGGAGGATCAGTTCAGGCCAGGAGTTCAAGACCAGCCTGAGCAATACAGTGAGAAATTTAAAAAATTTTAAATCAGTCAAGTGTGGTGGTGTACACCTGTAGTTCCAGCTACTAGGGCGGTTAAACCAGGGGGATTGCTGGAGTCCAGAAATTTCAGGCTGCAGTGAGCTATGATGACACCACTGCACTCGAGCCTGGGTGACAGAGTGAGACCCTGTCTCTACAAAAGAAAGTTGTTTTTTTTGTTTTGGTTTGTTTTGTTTTGAGAGAGTCTCGTTTTGTTGCCCAGGCTAGAGTGAGTGCCATGGCGTCAGCCTAGCTCACAGCAACCTCAAACTCCTGGGCTCAAGCAATCCTCCTGCCTCAGCCTCCCGAGTAACTGGGACTACAGGCATGTGCCACCATGCCCAGCTAATTTTTTTTTCCTATATATATTAGTTGGCCAATTAATTTCTTTCTATTTATAGTAGAGACGAGGTCTGGCTCTTGCTCAGGCTGGTTTCGAACTCCTGACCTCGAGCAATCCACCCGCCTCGGCCTCCCAGAGTGCTGGGACTACAGGCATGAAAAAAGAAAGTTTTTTAAAAGCTGAACAATCCTGATTGTATGCCTACAGCCTGGAATTCTCCCCCGAAGTGCAGACACACACAACCAAGCCATCTATTTGATAATTTCACTGGGAGATATATTCAGCAGGTCCAAAATAAACCTACACAGAGTGGACACTGTCTGCCAAGATCCCTGCAGATCCTTTTTTACTGTTTCTTTGCACCCTTGCCAGGGCTTTTTGTGCTTTTGCTGCCAACAGCGAGTACCTGCAACTCTTCTACAGCGGACTTTCCTTGGGCTCCGGGCCACGTTGCCAGTGCAACTTTGCCTACGCACTCAGAGAATCAGAAGTGCCCGTGAGTTTATGTTCCTTGGTGGCAGCCTTTCATCAATGACTTACTGGGGCAGAATGACTCCAAGGCTTAACTCGGGCTCCAGTGCTCAGGGCAGGATCAGGCGAGAGGCGCCCTCTGCAGGACGTTGTCTGACATTGCGCCCTCGCTTGGCTTTAACCTCTCCCAGCCCACATTGCCTGGGGTCTTCGCTTCCTCCCACGTTCTGCATGGAATCAGTCACGTTGGCTCCGTCTTCAAATCATATCCAAAATCTGAACACCTTTTGTTGTTGTTGTTTGGGACAGAGTTTTGATCTGTCGCCCCAGGTAGAGTGCAGTGGCGTCATCATAGCTCACTGCAACCTCTAACCCCTGGCCTCAAGCGGTCCTCCTGCCTCAGCCTCCCAGAGCACAGGGATGACAGGCATGAGCCACTGTGCCCAGCCGTTATATAATTACAGGCTGTGGGAAGTGCTAGGAAGAAAATAAACAGGGTGACAGTGGTCACCTAGAGCGGCAACTTTAGATAAGCAGGGAGGGCTTCCTGGAGGAGGTGATCCCCAAGCTGAGAGAGGAAGGATGAGAAGCTAGCCACACAACGAGATGAGTGGAGAGTATTTCAGGCACAAGTCCTGGGGTCTGGGTGGCTGGAGTGAGTGGAGCGTGTAACAGAGGCAGAGGGAGAGATGAGGGTGTGGAGGTAATGTGGAAGATGGGTGCTGGTGGGCTGCAGGAGGACTTTGGCTTCTGCCCTGAGTAAGGTGGGAGCCATGGAGGGTTCTTGAGCAGAGAAAGGGTTATGTCCTCACACGCCAGTGTTCACAGGTGCCTGCCTGCCCTTGTGGGGGGAACAGTGTATATCTGGAGGGAGACAGGAGACAGGACTGCACTGGTCCAGCTGAGTGACAATGAGGACTGGGAACTGAAAATGTGGAGAGAAGCGAGTGGGTTTTGGAGCTAGTTATGAGGTGGGAGGGGTTAACAGAAGCTGGGGTTAAGAAAAACACCAGATTCAAAGGACCCAGAGGAACAAGAACATCCACAAAGCAGTCAGTGCCAGGACAGGGTAGAGGCTGAGGAGGCTTGTGTCCAAATGCCTTCTGGGCCTCTTTAGACATGTCACCAAACCTCCCCCCCCCCCCCCGCTTCATTTCATCCTTAGTTAAACAAGGAGAGTCAACAGAAGTGGGGAATTGTGTGTGACAGGGAGAAAGTATTCAAGAAATGGTGTTTCTCTTTTTTCCATTTTGAGACATGATCTCACCCAGGTTAGAGTGCAGCGGTGCA